ATCTAGAATAAGATTCCCCCAATAAGTTCCCCTTTCCCAAGGTCCAACCATTAGGTGCAATCGTGTGTGCCCTAATTTATGCCCCAACTCCCATTGGTGACACAAACATGACTATGAAGCTAGTAATTTAGGCCTTTAATTACCAACAACAACAGATTAAAATAAGATTGCAACACAAATCATAAAACCAAACATAAATATATTAAGAAATTAACGAACTAGGCACATAGGTTCATAAACAAATTCACCCAAAAATCCCCAAGGGTTTTAGCCACTCATGGCCATAATAACAATCAATACAATGTTTAAAGATAAACAAACAACAAAAGGAATAAGAGAAAGAGTGAAAGAATTCTCCCGAATCTTTCTAGCCAGTTCTCTACTCCAAAGCTAGTTGTGAATCTTCAAATTGGTCCTCTTTGTGCTTTGCTCTTGATTGCCTTCAAAACACCAAAATCTGGGAAAAGAAGAACTCTACGGTTGATGGAAGATGATCCTTTTATAGTTGATATAAAGTTTGGATCAACCCTTGAGAAATTAGGAATATTCCTATTTTATAATTAATAAATCACTGCAACCCTCTTTAATTTCGCTTGGAAAGTTGTGCCTTTAAAATTTGGAAAGTTGGAATGTTGTTGCATTCACTTTGTCATGAAATTGAACTCAGCGCTGCTTTCTGTCTTCCAGCGTCGCTCGACTTTCTCGACGCGTCGAGACCCGATGGTCTTGACCGAAATATCTTTCTGGAAATTTTGGACGCGTCGAGTGTACTGTGTAAGCGCCATTCGGTCCACTTTTGAATCAAATTTTGTCCTAGGAGTTCCCTTGCTCATAACTTTAACCTACAATGGTTCAAAAACACTAACAAACACCGTAAAACATTTAAAACAAGTGTAGAACCATATTCTAACGAGAAAGCAAGGAAAACAAGTAGCTGGCGGGTGGCGGGGGGCAACTCTGGCGGGTTTGCGACAACTGCCACATGCCCGTTGACCGGCGGGACGGCGGCGTTGGGACTGGTGTTGCGATTGCTACGTCTCGTACGTGCCATCAATAGAGCTTAGAAACGGGGCCTTTTGTATCAACCCCCATTTCCCACGGACGGCGCCAATGTTGGTTTTCACAGCCCCGATGGCCGCTCGGCAGGCCAACACTACCGAATATTTGTGTTTGCGAAATGATGAAGAGAAGAGATAAAGTATTGAAGAGAGAGAATAAAGTGATATTATTTCTCTTAGGGATTTGCCCTTAAGATTTTCTGATCCCTTACACGGTGATCCCAGGGGGATATTTATACATGAGCTCGGGGCTCGTACATGGTAAGTAGGGTTGACGTAAGGCCAAACCTAGAGGCGGGTAGGGCTGACGCAACCACCTACTAGTTACCATAAACCATTTAGACTAATTAAGGAAACTACTTAAACGAGCAGAGATTGCTTCCGTAGAATCTGCTGATGTCCGTTTCTGGGTACGCACCCAGTCGGGGACGCCCGGCCGCCATGGAGTATCTTCTAGGGCCGTCATATCCAGGCGAGGGCACTTCGCCTTCGTAGCCTGGTCTCCCGGTCGGGTTTTAGATTGGCGCCTGGTTGGGGATACACCGCCCGCGTAGCCTGGTCGTCCATCTGAATCCGCTGGGGTATTCAGCCGGAGACACGCCAACCACCGATGCTGGTCGCCCGACTGGGACTCGCCCGAGAGACCGCCCGGGGATGCACCGACTGCTGAGATTGGTTACTAGGGGATAGGTAGTTGTTGCTGTCAGACGCCCTACAAGATGACCGAGAAGGGTCTCGGGGATCCCTTCAACGTCAAGTATCGAATCGTGCCTTGACCCGGCTGCCTCACCTGATCATCCCATCCAGGCGGCTGGCCAGGGTATCTATCAATGATAAATGCTAATTATCATCTCTTCTCCTATATAAGCCTTTGGTTGAGTATGTAATTTTACAACACCATAAAATCTATAGCTTTCTGTCTCTCAAAACCATGCTCTTCTTCCTCCAAAATTCTGTGTTCTCACCACTATTCTAGTTTATCGGATTTATTCGTTTGTGTACACAAACGTTAAACCGTAACTTGTTTTATCTTGAGAAACCTTGGCTACAAAGCTCCTAGCACCAAAGGGAGGTAGCAAATATGGTTTTAAGAATAGTGTGATTTCACACGACTCAAGCTAATCAACTTACCTTTTTCCTTTTATTCTTGTACTTATTGTTTTTTCAGAAATATTATTTTCGTAGTAATATTTCGTAACATAATCCATGTATGAATTAACCCTTTTGTTTTACTTTCCATTTTTTAGATAAAGGAAGAAAAAAGAAAAAAAAGTACATGAAATGAGACCATAAAATTCCCACTGGGTCTGTGGTTAAGAGGAGTCAAACCAATCAGTATACCATGAGCCATGATTCATCTTACAAGTTGGTCCAATTGCATAAGGCTCATTTTTAGTATACTAAAAGTTTGTTTTTAGTATATTAAAGGTTTTTTTTTTTTTTTTGTATACTTTAAAAATAAATTTTCAGTATATTAAAAATGAACATTTATCAATAGTCCACATTGCAATATGGATCATGGTTCATAGTATAATTTGCCGAGTCAAACACCATGTGACGACTCAAAAAATGTGTAATTTATCCATTGTGTTTTATTTTACTTGTTTACTATTCATTGCTGAATACTAGCTATTTATTTTTATTTATTTTCTTTAACTTTTTCTATTACTTATTAATTTTGAAATTTGACTTTTTATTTAATGTGGTTTGAAAATATATAAATTTTAAAGTAATGCCAGAGATTCGTAATATTTTCACCCTCCAATTCATGGCTCATGCTCTATTTGGCATTGGTTATTTAGGAGCTTATAGCTCATTTTAAGATACAAATAAGCTATAAGCTCTGTTTGGTAATGTTCCCAAAAAAACTAATAACTAAAAATAAGAGCTTATTTTATTTTTTATTTTTAAAAAAAAAACTGTAGATTTATTAAAGTGAAACCAAGTCAAAACAAAAAGAGTCCAAAAGCGACTCATAAACAAAAGGAGCAACAAGCTCTAAAACAACCCCCTATGCTATGTACAAGAATCGGCACAAGTGCCTTATGCCGATGAGTGCACCTCAGCCGTGCATTGGATCTCCAAGGTGTCCCCATACTACCATAGATTGAGCTTCATAGTCCAAAGATGGGTACACTCAAACTCTCACAAACATTTCCACAAGCAAGCACAAAAGTCAAATCAACTCCAAGCCCTTCATAAGGGTGAGATCGATGCCAAGTGGCCATCCACTTCTAACTCTCCACCCTCAGCCCCCCAAGTCAGCCCCACCGGTACAGAGCTCTGTATTTTATTCTGGGGGGTCTTTATGACTTGTGAACTGAGCAATGGTTTCCCTCACCCACCCTCACACCAACACACCATCTACCTTTGCACAGATCTCTACGTATTTCCCAAAGGTAAGCAGTAAGCTTAGAGGCATGCGATGTGAACAAGTAAGAGCTTATTTTGGAACGCTATTTGAGGTAGCATTTCAAAATAAGCTAGGAGTTTTCTAACTTTATTTTCATCTTTGTCCTTATTATTTTAAAGAAAAGACATCATTTACCCTTCCTAATTAAAATCCTTTTCTCTTCTCCTTTATCCGCAACTTTTATCGCCATTATTATTATTATTATTATTATTATTATTATTATTATTATTATTATTATTATTATTATTATTATTATTATTATTATTATTACAATTATTATTATTATTATTATTATTATTATTATTATTATTATTATTATTATTATTATTATTATTATTATTATTATTGATGGGGTGAGGACCCCGGCCCAAGAAGATGGGCCCAAGAGAGGAAGTCCAGAAAGGAAGACATGGGTCAGTAATAAAAGCCCGGTGGCGGCCTGGGCCGAGTCCGGGAGTCGGCCCAGGCCCCAAGTGAGGGAGAAGGCTCAGGAGCCGTTGGGAAACATTTAAGCGCAGCATTCAAGAGGACTCGACCGAGCGGACCAAAGAGCCGTTGGCCGGCCCAGTAACGGCACCCAACGGCCTCATACTGTAAATAGCCATGAAGGCAATCTTTAATATACTTCAATTCAGCTGAAGAGGAGCCTACTATATAAAGGACCCTCCGCCCTTGTAATCCAGGCGAGTCCATGCCAAAAGAGTAAAGAGACACGTTCACTACAACTACTTCTTTCATATTCTATTTTAAACAGCTTTGTTGAAAGGTGTATCCACCAACTAAGGTTGTGTTGGACCTCCCTGGGCCTAAAAAACCCTAAAACCAACACTGGCGTCGTCTGTGGGGATCGAAACAAAGAGCCACGTGCTTTTCTGAGCGGACAAGTGCACGAAACAAGCAAGGACATTATGGAGAGGTAAAAGCTTCGCAGCATGTTGGAGGGAAGGAGCCAGGCGAATAACCGCAATAATGCTCCCAGAGTCGACGTGAGAGAGCAACAAAATCAACGAAACGCCCAAAGCCAAGAGAACGAGTCGGCACCCTTGAACCGGCCGCCGGCCCTGATGCCATTCACTCCTGAACAAATCCGAGCCCTCGGGCGGGCTATCGCCGTAGAAAATCGTGGAATGGGAGAACGGTCGGCCTCGCGACCACCGCCCCGCAATCAGCAACCGCCCCAAAGATCCAGGGAAGGCAGGCCGGGAGATCGACGAGCGGAGAGTGTGCCGGTACGATCAGTCCATTCCAAGCTCGGTCCAGATACCGCACGCCGACCCGCGAGAGAGAAACTGGGAGAGAGAGAGCCCAGTCACGTACCGGTGGGCCCGCCGAATCAAGAAGCTGTCTGAGAAAGGGCTCATACCAGAAGAACTAGAACTCGGGCGCGACGGTCCGAGCGGCCTAGACGTAACAATGACCAACCAGCTGAATCAGAGGTCGGTGAAAGCACGGAGTCCACTGGGAATCACACGCAAAATGTGGAGGATGTGGCTCAACTGGCCCTAGAGGTGCGAAATCTGAAGGAGCAAATGGAGGGAAGGACCAAATCCCCCGGGCGAACGTTGCTCACCGCTTTGCCCTTCTCCTCCGAGATCATGTCTTACAAGGTACCCGGCGACTTCAAGTTCCCGGAACAGGCCTCCTTTGACGGATCCGGCGACCCACGAGAGCATTTACTAAGCTATCAGGCCAAGATGCAAGTCTTTGGAGTCCAAGACCCGGTAATGTGTCGCGCCTTTTTGCCGACACTAAAAGGACCGGCGCAAAGATGGTTGGTAGCCCTGCCCCCTGGATCGATATGCAACTTTGAAGAGTTGGCCGATCGCTTCATGAGCCACTACGCGGCCAACATCAAGCCACAAAAGGATTTGACCCATCTAGTGGACGTTCACCAAGAGGAGGGCGAATCTCTTAAAACTTACTTGGCCCGGTGGCAGAAAGAAATCCAATCTATCGAGGAGGTCGAGGACCAGACCGCCCTCACCTTCTTCACCGAATCTTTACGGTCCGGGCAATTATATCGCGACCTACGTGCCAATCGACCCGCCACCTACGAAGAAGCCATACATATGGCCAATAAAAGAGCTAACACGGAGCAGGCCATGAAGCACAAGCGACAGCGCGAGGTCGGAGGTTCTGCCAGCGGAAAGAGGACCCGCGCAGAGACTAAGGAAAGATGCCCGAAAGCGCCTAGACGACCTGAAGCCAGGCGCCGATACGACAAGCCCGTCGTCCATCCCTATAGTCCGATTCCCCAACATCTGGTGCACGAGGTACAAGCAGTCGCGCCTCCTCCGCCTCCCCAATTGAGGAGCGCGTGGCGAACGAAGAACCAGGTAAGATATCTAAGTACTATCGTTACAAATCTAATCTGTATCATAGAACCATCTCAGGCTTTGCGCACGGTCCGAACTTCTGCTCTGGCGAAAAGAGAGAAAAAGGGCGATTTTTTTCGCGGCAAGTCTCCGGCCAACTTTTCCGGCGCCGGCGAGTTCCAGACGGCCAATCTGAATCGGTAGAAAGTCTCGTCTCTCCAAGGCGGACAAGGCCATGCAAGGGCAATGGCCGGATTCCGTTCGGGAGGCGCTCAAACAGGTCAAAGACCTCTCGGCCAGTTTGCGTCGCGAGGGCTTGGTGTTTTCTCCGGCGGCGATCCGAGCTCTACAGGCCGGCGATCCTCTTCCAAGGCCTAGCAAAGCATTCGTCTGGTCTCAGGCTTCCATCCGCACCAACAAGGATCGAAATCGGAGGCCATATGCGAAGGGCGGTGATCGCGATTGCGGAACTGCTAGGGTTTCGGCCATGGTGGTTCCGGAGACGTCTCAGGTTTCTGATCCTCACTATAGGGGTGGCCGAGGCTTGGAAACACCTTATGGAGATGATCGCCATCAAAATCAAGCAGATCGGACGCCGGTGGAGATCGCCGATCGCGAAACTAGGGTTCCGGCTAGGGTTTCGGCCTGTGGCCCGTCGCCGGCGATCCAATGCTCCGATGGTCCATCTGATCAGGACGTAGACGTCCATGGGTCTAGGGGGACTGATCGTGGTGATCAGGCTGATGATCGGACGTCGGGAGACTCCCCGGGTGGTGGTGGTACAGGTAATAAGGTATGGCGGGCCCTCTCAGCTGGCCGGACCACCCCGGTGCCGGTTAGTAATGGGTTCGCTGTGCTCCAGGATGAGAGCGTAGTCTCCGAGGAGGCTATTTTGGGGCCGGGGGGTGGCGACTTGCCAACTACCCCGGTTGATAGCAGGATATCCGTAGGTACGGCAGCACCCGGGGCAGGGAATGGCCAGTCGCCTGGACAGTTGGTATCTTTCTCTTTCACTCCTTTTTCTCATTCTCCTAAGGTTCCCTGGGGGCCGAGAAGGGGGAGGGAAAGGGCTTGGTCAGATTCTGATGTGCCGGTGTCTGGTCATGAGCGTGAGGAGTGGGCCCCGGAGTCGGGGTCAGACTCTGAGGATCGGGTGCTTGCTGGTGTAGGCCCGGTAGGACGTCGGCTTATACATACCAGAAAAAGGGGGGGCTCCCCTCACTCGGAGCCGGGTGGTCTATTGTCTATATGAAGATGCTCGTGTGGAATGTGCGGGGGGTGTCCTCCCGGGGTTCGGCACGCAGGATCCGTGTTTTGTTAAGAATGCATTCTCCTATTGTACTTTGTCTGCTCGAGCCTTTCAGCTCGTCTGATTAGCTTGAGTTTTTTAGAATTCGTTTTAATTTTGATAATGGTTTTGCTTCTAATAATAATAAAATTTGGCTTTTTTGGAATAATGACTTGGCAGTAACATTTGAGAGTCAGACTGAGCAGTGTGTTACGATATCTTGTGTACACTCTACGGTTCTCACGCCTTTCTGGCTCTCTTTTGTTTATGCCAAGACCAAGGTACGCCTCCGGGACCCCCTGTGGGTTGAGCTGAAAGCTATTTTTTCTATAATCCCCGGGGGTGTGCCTTGGGCGGTTGCGGGTGATTTTAACTGTCTGTTAAGTGTGGACGAGAAAAAAGGTGGTCTACCGTATTCACACCGGAAGACTACTGATTTTCAGGAGTGTGTCAGTGCGTGTGACTTGGTCGACGCGGCCTATTACGGTTCCTGTTTTACTTGGTGGAATGGGCGCCGTAGAGAGGCGGCTATATGGATGCGTTTGGATCGGCTCCTCTACACCTCGGTGTGGGAGTCGGTTTTTACGTCATCCGTACGGCATTTGTCAAAGTCTACGTCTGACCACAGTCCGCTTCAAATATCCTTTGAGTTGATAAGTATGCAGGTAATTCCGAAGCACTTTGTGTTCCTGAACGTGTGGATTAAGCACGACGATTTTCTGAGGGTGGTGCGTGATAGCTGGCAGGTTCCTGTAGAGGGGGCCCCTATGTTTGTAATAGCCACCAAGTTGAATAGGTTGGGGAAAGTTCTGAGCACCTGGAGTAAGACTGTATTTGGGGATATCTTTGTGAAGCTCCGGGAGTATGAGGATAGTGTTCAGGCCCTAGAGGCTGCCTTACAGCAACACCCGGAGGATGAGAATGCTTTAATTGAATATAAAAAGGGTGTTGCTTTGTTACAGAAACAGATTGCTATAGAAGAAGATTTTTGGCAGCAGAAGGCGCGTATCACCGACGTTCAGGATGGGGATAGAAACTCCCGGTTCTTTCACTTAGTTGTTAAGGAACGTAGGCGAAAGCTATATATACACAGAGTGAAGGGTGGTGACGGTGTGTGGCTAGAGGATAGGCAAGAGATTGCTAATCAGGCGGTCTCTTTCTTTGAGCATATGTTCACCGCGGAGGTTGGGGGTTTTGATTTGACTAGGCTAGACTGTGTCCCACGGTTGGTTACAGAGGAGGATAATGAGGTTTTGACGGCGGTGCCTGAGGTGGAGGAGGTGAAGGCGGTGGTAATGCAGATGAACTCTACGAGTGCGGCAGGGCCGGATGGTTTCTCGGGGGCCTTCTATAAGGCTTGCTGGGATATTATTCAGGATGATGTTGTTAGCATGGTTCGAAGCTACTTTGCGGGACGGGAATTTACCAGGGCTATCACGCACACATCTATCGTCCTGTTGCCGAAGAAGCCGAGTCCGGAGACTTTTGCGGACTACAGACCCATCAGCCTATGCAACTTCAGTAGTAAGCTTATCACGAAGCTCATGGTGGTTCGGATGGCAACAGTCTTGCCTCGGGTGTTGTCACCGCAGCAGAGTGGGTTTGTGGCGGGCCGGTCTATTACAGATAATGTGCTTCTAGCGTCTGAGATGTGCCACGGGTTGAGCTTGCAGAACCGGGACATAGTCCTTAAGTTAGACATGGCTAAGGCTTATGACCGGGTATCATGGTTTTTCCTGACTTCGGTGATGCGCCGCCTGGGTTTCAGTGAGGTCTGGATAGATATGGTGTTCCGGGCCGTGTCTAACGTGTGGTATTCAGTGATTGTGAATGGAGTCAAAGAGGGCTTCTTCACGTCTACGCGAGGTCTCAGGCAAGGGGACCCGCTGTCCCCGACTCTGTTTGTGATTGCAGCTGAGGTCTTGTCGGTGTACATTGCGCGGGTCTATGATGGCACTACGGTGCCCCGGTTTACACAGCCGCCACGGACACCACATATTCACCACCTGGCCTATGCGGACGATGTTATTATTTTTAGTACGGCCAGGTTGGGAGCTATTGAGGTCGTGATCGGGGCGTTAAAGGAGTACGAGGAGATCTCGGGACAGTTGGTGAGCTTTTAGAAAAGTGCGTTTTACATGCACCCTCGTACTCCGGCCCACGAGATTGAGCAGATTTGCCGGGCAACGGGCTGTGTGCATAAACAGTTTCCTTTTACATACTTGGGCTGCCCGGTGTATATAGGCCGTAAAAAGTGTATCTACTTTGCCTCGGTGATTGATAAAGTTAAGGCTAGATGCTTGAGTTGGCAACGCCGGCTGCTCTCGAAGGGCGGTAAGGCAATCCTGGTCTCTTCAGTCTTGCAGGCCATACCGTTGCACATATTTTCGGCCTGCGCTCCGCCTAAGCAGGTCATACGGGATCTGGAGAGATGTTATGCGAGTTTTTTCTGGAAACAGTCAGGGGGCGCCCGGTACCACTGGAGTTCGTGGAAAACCCTCTCTCTTCCTAAGAAGGAAGGGGGGGTGGGGTTCATGGATTTAGACTTGATGGTAAGGGCGGCCAGTGCTAAATTGTGGTGGAATTTCCGGACATATCATACTTTATGGTCGGACTTTATGAGGGCGAAATATTGCAGTCGGGTTCACCCGGTTGCTAAGTTGGTTCAGAATAGAGATTCGCACACCTGGAAGAGGATGCTGGCGGTACGTGATGAGGTCGAGGGGGTTCTCACTTGGCGGTTGTTCCAAGGCCGGGTTAGTTTCTGGTGGGACAACTGGTCGGGTCTGGGCCCACTTGGCAGGCTTTATCCACACCGGGGGGTTTCCTACTCCCGGGAGTTGCTTCTAGACTATGTGCGGGATGGCCAGCTTGATTTGACAGACCACGATGACTTGGCATTTGCTGGGATTGGGGCGGACCTGTCCCGCTTGGGGCAGGGCCCGCGTGATATCCCACTCTGGACCGTGGCGTCCGACGGTATGTTTTCTTATTCCTCTGCTAAGGCCTTTCTTAGGCCTGCTTTGCCCACTGCACCGGACCCGCTCTTAGCTAAGTGTTGGCGCAAGCACCTTCCTTTTAAGGTGTCCTTCCTGGCTTGGAGGGTCTTCCGAGGGCGGCTTCCCACGGATGACATCTTGGCCCGTTTCGGTCATGCGATCGTCTCGAGGTATCGGTGCTGTCCAGCCCCGGTCCCCGAGTCTATTGATCACATCTTTTATTCTGGGGAAACAGCAAGAGCTGTTTGGAGATATGTTTTGGCGTCCCTCGGCCTCTACTTGCGACACCGAAGTCTTAGGACTTTGATTGCAGGATGGGGTCGGGCGGGGGCGCGTAACCCTCTTTTGTCTTTTGTTGTTTGCAGGTTGCCGTATCTGGTGTTGTGGGAGCTGTGGAAGCACCGTAATGGGTGCATGTACGGCCGAGACACACCCAGCGTTGCACGGGTGATGCATGGGGTGGCAAAGGGGGTGGCGGAATGCCTGTTTAGGCGTTGGCCCATGCAGCATATCATGCCCTCTAACTGGAGGACTATTGTGGCATACTTGGAGGCACATGTGCCGAGGCGTGTTATTAGGACGGTCAGGTGGTCTCCCCCGGTTGCCGGGGCGTTAAAGATCAATCTTTCTCGGTCTTCGGCAGCTGGGGGGGCTGCGGCCGTGGTGCGCAACCAGGAGGGTGGCTTCTGCTACGGGGTTGCGTGGTCTGGCCACGGGGAGCACGCCCGGGGAATGTTCCGGGTCCTTTTCTCTTGCCTGGAATGGTGCCTGGCCGGGGGAACTACTTTGATTGATATAGAGTCCACTTGGCTGGAGTTGGCTAGCTACGTTGATATCTCTGTTCGTCCGCCGTGGATACTAGATGATGTTGTGACCAGACTCCGGTTTCTGTGTTCCTGTGGGGTAGTTACTGCTTC